CTCTTCCCTGCGCCTCATCTGCAAAATGGGGGAACTCTCTGCAATATCTGCAGCACTTATGAGGTGTGACAGGCCAAAAGGCATGTTCTTTCTTCCTTCCAGAGGCCAACTAATATAAAAGTTTTCCCCTTGACACAAACAGCCACAATCCCTGGCAGCTTCCAAATTCTAATCAGTTAAGTTCTGTCTGTTTCGAGGATCTGGACTTTCCACACATCTCCAAACCTACCATCTGTCCACAACATACTCCTGAGTAACAGTGGCTCTCGCTATCGCTATGGCTACGGGAAAACTACTTTTCATGGAGTTATGCGACTGTGCCTTATATCTCTGTTTTCCCCAAAGTACTCAGGAGACAGTCAAATGTTTGTCAACTGACCATAGAGCCCTCCTCATCTCAGCCTAGTCAATCAGCTAACATGAATTTATAATATCTATGTTCCAGGCACAGGGTAGACCTGCCCTCAGGTAGCTTATGTTCTACCAAGAGGCCTGTGCACAGTCTCCTCCACCATCCTCCCACTAGGCATCATTAAGGAGGCGCCTCACCACACCTGGCAGGGATCGTTCCGCACAATGGGTAGCCAGACAAACCACTGTTACTCAGCAACAAGGAGAGGTACAGGAACAGCTCAGACCCCACAGGGAAAGACGAGCCACACACCGTGATCTTCCCCATCCTCCTTTCTCTCCAAAGGTGTTTCCCCCACATGAAATCTAGAAGATCAGGAACAAAAAGCCTTCAATGCCGGGCATGTGACGACACCACTTAGCAAAGCCTCCAGTCGTACATAAAACTGAGAAAAATAAAAACGTTTCTCATCTAAATACTTACACGATCCAGCACGACCTAAATCCGGTTCAGCTGCTAGCATGCAATCGTTACATTAGCCCCCCAGTCCATTTTTAGAGGTCCACAAAGCCAAACTTAAAATAGAGAAGCAAAGACAGTGTCGAGACCTACCACCAACAGGGCAGAGAAGCCACTTTTCTAAAATCAGTGGCAGGAGAGTGAGCACTTTTAGCAGGGATCACTGCTACCTCCCCCCTCCCCAAAGAGCTAATTCACACTAGTTAACTCCTATCTAAACATCCTCAGCCTTCTTCTACTTTTAAGACCAATACACCACGCAAAAATCCAAACACTGAATTCAAAAGTTATATAAAAACTTAGTATTAGATTCCTCCTACTAACGAATTTCTTAAGCCTTTCTAAATATTTGACTTTCAAGAGAAATGCACTTCCACTTTAAAACAGCCTCTTTCATCTCTAGTTATGCAAATTTTTTTCTGTTTGTTTAACAAACCCCATACCCCTGGCTAGTGTTTAATCAGGTCTTGATTTAACATCACTAGCCCTGGGATGGGCACTGCCAAGTCTGAAAGAGTTTCACATAATGAGCTCATTAACAATAACTAATTGGTCCAATACTGAAATATGTATCAATATGTCTATGAAAATGAGTTTAGGACTTGGGGGGGGGGGGAATCATCTAAAAACAGAAACAGTGGAAGTGGAGTGTGCTCCCAAACCAAGGTCTAGAAATCACACAATTACAAATGTTCTTTATACAGGAAAGACTTCATGCTGCTAGGTGAGAGTAATCATTTTATAGATGGAGCAACAAAAGCTTCAAGGTGTCACATGTCACCTGCTGCCCCCCTTCCCCCATTACACACCAGATGAGACGCAAGCCTGAAAAGAAGGGAAACCAAAATGCCCGGCTACCATCAAGGTTCCTGTTCAAGTCACTCAGTTATCTCTCAGCCTTATCCTCCTCATCTGTAAAATGAAGATGATAACAACAATACCCACTTCATCTAGACTGTGGAGAAGACAAACGAGGTAGCATGTAAAGCCCTGGTCAGAACTTCAAGCGTTATAAAATTGTTAAGAGCAGTCAATCTGCCCTTCACCCAAAGGGTGTGTACCTATGTGTATGTACGTGTACATATATATACATACACACACACACACACACAAATAATAACTCAATGTAATCTAAGCCTCACTGAGACAGAGCAGCTCTCTAAATCATGAGCAATTCTACAGAACTGTCTGCTGGAAATCATAGCAATTTTTAAGTTTTAAAACCTCAGAAAACAAAAAAAAGGACCTTTCCTTTTTTAAAGGATGGTTCACAATCCTGCAAGGCTTTAGGCCACGCTTCAGTACAAAGAACTTTTCTTAGAAGTTAAAACACGTATATATTTTAACTATTCTTACCTTATATTTTAACTTACTCTTACTGGCTATAACTTTAAAGAAAAAGTTATACACACATATATACATATACGTATGCATGTGTATATACACATATATGCATGGGTATACATACACACATATGTAGATGTATATATCTTTTTAATCTGGGCTAAAAGCCTTAAAATGTTTATCCTAAAGCAAAATGCTGATGTGCTCTCTGTTCTAAATGATTTCTTATTTCTTACTCAACCTGTGGTCCTACCTCTTCATTAGACAGGGCTTTTTTATTTCCCACCTTAGGGGGCCAAAGAGTGAGTCCTAGCCTAGTATTTCTGCTAGGTGTGTTGCACTCTATACACACATATACATGGACACACGCGCACACACACAAGTACGCACATACACACACAGCACATGCTCGGCTCACTGAAATGGAAGACAGTGGCTGAGCGACCAGTGGAGCCACGGCCAAGTTAGTCAAGAGAGAAACTCTGGTGAGGAAAGTCTATTCCACGGTTTCTGATCATCTTAACAACATTATTGCAGTTACAAGTGAATTTTCGACACCTCTTAGTGATTGCTTAACAGGCAAACCTTATTAAATACCATTTAAGTCCTTTTCTCTTTACTTAGCAATTGTTGACTTAATTTTTTTGGCCAGGCTAATGGACCACAAAAGGAGTTAAGATAAGCACTTCAAAAGTCTCCAAAGGGAAAAAAGAATGGCCTCCTTCTGCCAAATTCACACATTATCTCCCTCCTCAAAAGGATAGAAGTTATAAATGGTGTGTTGAAACTGCTAATTTTGTATTCAATGAATAACCAGAGATTAGCTCCAAGTGGAGGGAAGACTCACCATTTGGATCGCTAGCTAAGCACACAAGTTGCCTTCCTAAGGCAAAAGCTGAAGAGAAACAGCCAGAACCTTAATGGGCTCCTTCAGAAAAGCTGGAGCACCAGTGTTGTTCCCAGAACACCTTTCTTCCTGGGGCACTGGAAAAAAACAAAATTGCTTCTAAAAAATTCTTCAGGGCACCAGTGACTACCTGAGACAGGGAGATAAGGAAGGGGGATTCTTTGGGTAGTCTTAGCTAGTCCTGAGAGAAGAATTTTGGAACAGTCACCAAAGCATGCTCATTGGATGAAAGCTTACATAATTAAAGATGATTAAACATGATTAAAAACTGTGAAAGAGTCTTTAAAAGTGTTCCCAGTCCCAGAAATCAAACAAGACCTTCACTTCCCTTCTGTTCACCCCACACAAGTTTGGAGTGGGAGAGGAAACACACAGCAAAGCAGCCCACAGGAGTAGCCCAGGTGCAGGGACTGAGCTGGGGACGTTACCACTCCAAGTGTCTGTAAGGTGGGACACACACACACACACACACACACACACACACACAATCCAAACCTTGCAGCAATGAGAAACAGAAATAATAACCTTGCTTAGGATCCAGTTCCTTTATTACCCAAAAACCCAGGCAGAAGTGGAGCAGACCGAACAAGCCCGGGTCAGCAGTGACTACATGGCAGGATTACATCTGAAAGCTCCTCCTGCCCCAAACCTGTTCAGTGCACAGCCGCTCCCCAGCCCAACTCGGGTCCACTCCGAGACCTCCCCAGAGAGGCACCCAAATCCTTGGAAGGTAAAGAGTAAGACTGGCCAAGTAAACAACCCGGGGCAATCAAGCCAGGCCTTCAAAGAGCAGGGTTTGTTTTGGTTTTAATCCCTCCATCAGACTCCCAGTGGAATGCAGACACCTTTTCATTTGGTAGGGAGGTGCGGAGGCCAGTCAATCCCAGGTTGCCTCCGTCTCCCAGCAAGAGTTCCTGGCAAAGAGATGGAATGAAGGTCTTCCGTCCTCCTCCAACTGCTCTTCAATTACTACGGAGGAGGAATTTGTCATGCAACTTAGCCCGAGAACTTGGTGAATCCCCAAACCTGCTCCATTCTTCCACCAAACACAATCCATCAATGCTCACTACACCTCTGGAAACCCGAAAGGACCCACCGATCGGGGGGTGCACTGTTTTGTTCTGTTTTCAGCTACAGAGACACAAGTTTTAAAACTACCGCAAACAGACCAAACAAACAGTAAGCATTCCGGGGAGGGAAAAGCATTTGGTCGCGTTCAGGTCCCTTCTAGCTCCAAGCCTGAGGAAGGACTCCACGAAATTTAGGATCATGAAAAACATTAACTGATGCTTATTTTACGAAGGAAAGCGAAGGAAAGCTGGCCAAAGGGGCTGAAACACACACACACACACACACACACACACACACTCTCCTCACCATGCAGACACCTCTTCCCAGAGCTCACTCGTGTACCACCTAACACTCAGGCTCTGGCACGAGCGATGCACAGGACCCGCAAAAACATCCAACTCGTGGAAAAGGGACACCCCCGCCAGGCCCTGAGGCTCCCCCTCTCTGCAAGCCCAAACCTTCGGGCTGACACTCCTCCGCGCCCTCCCGCCCCCTCCCCAGCCCCCGCCGTTTCGGTGGCCCCACGCGAGCCCGGACCCCCCCCCCCACGTGCAAGGACCGAGCTGGAAGGGAGGCTGCGGGGGACATGGGAGGGCAGGACGCAGGGTCCGGCCGGGCCACAGGTGGGCGGGCGGCGGGCGGGCCTCAGCGGCCTCGCTCGTCCCCCCAGGGGAGGGCAGACGGGGTGCCCGCTCCGGCCCCCCCCCCGGCCGTGCCGACGCCCCCTGCGGCTGGAGGGCCGGCGCCCGCCGCCTCCGGCCGGCCTAGCGGGGGGAGGCGAGCGCGGCAGCGCAGCCCCGTCCGTACCTGCACGATCTCGCCCTCGGCGCTGAGCGTGGCCCCGGCCCGGGAGAAGCGGCCCGTGAGGCCCGTGGTGTAGGTGGTGTAGTCGCCGCTGGGGCTCGACTCGAACAGCACCACCTCCACGAACGCCGTCTCCTTGGCCCGCGCGGCGCCGGGGCCCGAGGCCGCCAGCAGCAGCCCGAGCAGCAGCGGCAGCGGCCGCACCGCGCCCCGGGCCCCGGCCCCGCCCCGGGGGCCGCGGGGGCGGCCGGGCCCGGGGGCGGCGGCGGCGGCGCGGCCTCATGGTCGGGCGGCGGCGGGAGGAGGGCGCGGAGGGCGGCAGCGGCGGCCGGGCATAGTCGCGGGGCGGAGGCGGAGCGGCGGGAGGAGCGGCGGCGGGCGGCGGGCTGGCCGGTCACAGGAGCCCCATGGCGGCAGCGGCGGCAGCAGCGGCGGCGGCGGAGGAGGAGGAGGCGGCGGCGGAGGCTTTGTGGGTCTCAGGCTCCGCTCCGAGGAGGCTCCCGGAGCCGTCGCGCCTCGGCCCTTTCATCGGCTCCACGTGAGGGGTTATCCCCGCCCCCCAGCTCCGTGACCCGCTCGGCCCGCCCCGCCCCGGCCCCGCCCCCAGGGGGGACAGGGCGGCCGGGAGGGCGCGCGGCCCGGCCTGGAGCCCGGCGAAGCGGAGCGGAGCCAGCGCCAGCCCAGCACCAGCCCAGCAGCGGGCCCGGCCTCACAGCGCCCCCTGGGGGACGGGGCAGCAGGAAGGGCCGGCCTGGAGCCGGGCGGAGCGGAGCGGAGCCAGCGCCAGCCTAGCACCAGCCCAGCAGCGGGCCCCGACCTCACAGCGCCCCCTGGGGGACGGGGCAGCAGGAAGGCGGCAGAGGGGACTGAGCCGAGCCCAGTCCACTATCGCCCCGCCGCCACCCACTACAGAACAGCCCAGACAAGCCTAGCCAGGCACCCCACAGGCCGAAGCCACCCCTTCTTCCAGCACAGGCACCCCCTCCCCACCTGGCTGGCCGTGGCCCTCCACGGGGCACCTGAGCCTCTGCATGTGCAGGCCCTCCATGGTCACGTGGCTGCCCTTCCCCCCCACCCCCACCTGCTCTGGAGGCAGCAGAGGAGTCACAGCCCTCAGTGACCATTAGTAGAGGAAGAGGAATAATGAAGGGCTAGAGCTCTGGGCCTGGAGTCAGGAAAACCCAAGTTCAAATCCAGCCTCAGACACTTCCTAGCTGGGTGACCCAGGGCAAGTCACTTCACCCTGTTGGCCTCAGTCTCCTTATCTGTAAAACGAGCTGGAGGAGGAAATGGCGAACCCCAAATGGGGTCACCGAGAGTCAGACACAACTGGCCAGCAGCAAAAGTAACAACAAAGTAGTGGCCGTCAGTGGCCATAGCAGAAGAGCGGTAGTAGCCAAGGTGGTCATTACTGGAGGCGTAATAGCCCTTAGTGACCATCAGCACCAAGGACCAGCTTTTCCAGACAATGGCACTGCGCTCTGGGGCTCCAAAGAAAAATTAAAACATGGCGCCTGGCCTCCGGAGGCTCCAGTTCTCCACCAGACCAGTGTCTACAGAAGAGCTGCCATGTAACAGAAGGCCAGTGGTGGGACCTTTAGTGATCGTCACCAGCAACGGGTCAGCTGTTGTGATGAGGTAACAGGTTAACTACTGTTAGTAGTGGTGGAGGATCCATTGGGCACCATTAGCTGAGGGCGGACTGCCCTTGGGGCTCATTACTGAGAAGAAACTGCCCTTAGGGACCATTAGGGGAGGAAGAGCTGTGCTTAAAGAAAATTAGTGACCTCGAAGAGCCCCTTGTAACCATTGGCAGAAGACCCCCTTCTCTGCTGGGACCCTGCCCCCACCCTGGTGCAGACCCTCCTCACCTCCCACCTGGACTATTGCTGCTGGGGGGTCGGTTAGCTGCCTCCAGTCTGTCCCCACTCCAGTCCATCCTCTACTGAGCCACCGAAGTGATCTTCCTACTGACCGTCTCTCCCTTACTCAATAAGCTCCAGGAGCGAATACAAAATGCCTTCGAAGCCCTTTATAACCTGGTCCCTCCTACCTTTCCCGTCTTCTCACACCTCACTCCCCAACACACACTCTCCATCCAGTGACAGGGCCTCCTGGCTGTTCCTAGAACCGGACTCTCCTTCTGTCTGATCCAGGCATTCCCACTGGCCATCCCCCTACCTGGAATGCCCTCCCTCCTTCACTCTGACTCCTGACCTCCCTGGCTTCCTTGAAGTCCCAGCTAAAATCCCTCCTTCTCCAGGAAGCCTTCCCCAATCCCTCTTAACTCCAAGGCTTTCCCTCTGTGAATAATTTCCTACTTATCCTGTTATGGAGCTTGCTTTGTATACGTTCGTTGGCATAGTTTCCTCCATTCTATTATAAGCTCCTTGAGGGCAGGAATTGTGCTCAGCACAGTGCCTGGCACATAGCAGGTGCTAGATAAATGTTTAATGATTGGCTCACCGGCCAGTAGGCCATTAACCACCACTAGAGACCCTTAGTAGCCATTAGTGACAGAACAAATATTAGCGGTCATTAATTTTTCATCCTAAGGCTAGTCTGGTCTTAGGGGTTGAGGTAACAGGGCCCTGTCCTTCCCTCCAAGAGGGAGAGAGAGTGCCCCATCCTGCAGACACTAGAAGACCTCACTGCAGTTCAGCCCCTCCTTTCTTCTCCCTCCGCCAGCCTCCTGCCCTGACTGTGAGCACCTCCTCTCTGGGCATGGCCCAGGGTGGGGCCCCACCAGATCCTTCTCCTTCAGCCTGGGGTAACCACCCTCATCTTGCCCTGCCATGCTTGGCCTTTTTTTGTTGAGTTTTAGGCCAGGAGAGTCCTATTTTCTGACGGACTGGATTTGGTGGGACTTGGCGGGAGAGGGGGAGGGCTAGCCCTCCATTACCTATGTTGCCTCTGATATCTTCTAGCCCTCCCTGCTTCCTGGTCAGCCCTCCATGTCCAGAGGAAGCAGGGCTGGAGCCAAGGCAGCTGGGTTTTTCACTGGCTGACCTAGCTCCTCTTGGATGGACCCCAGGCATATGTCCTTGAAACCTTCAGCCTCCTCACTCAGAGCCCTGCTGGTGAGCGCCCCTTTTCCTGGTGGCACTGAGTGACAATGGCCTGGCCGGGTCGTTCATCCTCCTCACCAGGGTGAGCTGGCTGCATCTAATACCCACTTCCTCCTAGGTCGCTCTGATCCCTTCCACTTGGCTCTCAAGAACCTTAAGGTACCAGGGCTACAGATGAAAGGCAGCCCAGCCCTTCACTCTCTTTACCACAACAATTTGGATGGAACTGCTTGGATGACAATCTAAAAAGCCCCTCGGGTCCTCCCCAAAGGGGCCACTGGCCAGCTCCCCTTGTTCTAAGGGGTGATTGGTGAGTAACCAAGGCCTTTATTTTTCCTACCCAAAGCCAGCCTGGACCTAGAAGCCAAGCTCCCCTTAGCACCAAGGACTAGACGTGGCAGTTTCCCAAGGAGGTTAGGGCTTGACTGTTGGAGTCGGGGACCCTCTATAGCAAGGGCCACCCCACTAGATTTACCCCACTTTTCCAATCTCCTTAGACATTTATTTCTCCCTCCAAGGTCGAGGCTGTTTGGTCCACACCCAAAACAATATAGGGTTTGGAAAGTTGGAAGGCAATCAGTTGCTGCCACCTGGACCCAGCCAAGCATAACAGTTCATACTTCCACAGCTCTTCAAGGTTCACCAAGCATTTTTTCTCAAAAACAACCCTGGGAGGTAGGAAGTACAAAGACTATTGTCCTCATTTTACAGGTAGGGAAACTGAGGCTCAGAGAGGCAAACTACAGTTGTCCAAAGTCACAAAGTCAGCAAATGTAAGAAGAGGCAGGATCCAAAATGCAGCTCTTCCCTGACTCCATGTCTGTCTACTGAATTCAAGTATGGTGGGCCTAAAGGCCACTGGACTTTTTGAGTCTCCAAATAACATTGACTATTCATGAATTTAAAGGTCTAAACCTGGTTGACCCAGCCCACCCCCATCCAGGGCCTGCCAACCCAGAGTCACAACCTGGGTGGCATCCTTGACCCCTCACTCTCTCTCACCCTAGATATCCAATCTATTGACAAAGCATGTTAGTTGCACCTGCTCAGCCCCTCTCATATCTACCCTCTTCTGACAGTACAGTTGGTGCCGATGCTGGCTACCTTACCCCTGGACTATTTCACTAGCCTTCTGATGGGTATCTTTACCTCAATTCTCTCTCCGTTCCAATCTGTCCTCCACTGGATTATCAAATTAATCCTCCTAGAGTGCAGATCTCATCCCAGCACCCTTTGATTCAAGAAATTGCACTCTCCCCATCACCTCAAGGATCTAGTATAAAATCCTCTTTTTGGTGTTTCAAGCCCTTCATAAACTGCCTCTCCCTCAACACACACACACACACCCACACACCCCTTTTAGTGAATCAATTAACATTTATTAAGCATCTACTGTGTATAAGGTGTGCACCTACTGTGTGCTAAGCTCTGGGTTGATTGGTTTTACCAGACTTCCATGTTACTCCCATCCCTGTACTCTGCAATCCTGGCCTCCTTCACACCATGGCCCAACTCCAAGTGCTTTTATGACTGTCCTCTACATCTGAGATCTTCTCCTTCCTCATCTCCACCCCTCCCCCCCCACTTCCCTGACCTCCCTCAAGGCTCTTCTACAAGAAGCCTTCCCAGGTCCCTGTCAATGCTAGTGCCTTCCCTCTGGTGATTATATGCAATTTATTCCTATATATCTTCTTGAGAGCAGGTCCTGTTTTTTGCCTTATCTGCCCAGAGTTTAGCACAGTGCCTGACTTGTAGTGGGGATTTAATAAACTCATATGGGGCAGCTAGGTGGCTTGGTGGATAGAGTACCAGCCCTAGAATCAGGAGGACCTGAATTCAAGTCTGCCTCTGACACTTACTAGCTGTGTGACCCTGGGCAAATCATTTCACCTCATTGCCTCCAAAAAGGAAAGGAAACAAATTAAATATGTAAATACTTGTTCATTTGAATATAAACTCTTTGCCTGGAGAAACATCTGTTTAATTCAACAGCTATTTAGTAAGCACTTACTAAGTGCAGGACTCTAGATGAGCCACTAGACTCAGGCCATGCCTTCCCCTAGCATGGAGCTGGAAGAAAAAAGGAAATAATGACTGCCCTTGGGGAGCTTACATTCTGCTGATGGGAAAC